CGCTAACCGTGTACTAAAACAAAATGTAGAGCTAAGCGAAACCTCCACGAAATCTTACGGCCAAAGTTCTATGTTCTGCGTCCCCGATTTTCCCGTTTTGCAAAATGAATTGTGGAGCGTGTTTATGACGTTACTCATAGAACAAGTGAATTGTATATTATTTTATGTTATGCTGTTAGAATTTGTAATTTAAATATAATAATATTTATATAGATGTATATAATGTATTTAAATCTAGAATAAAAACAACGAGAACGTACACCCTCGCTTATAAATATGTGGGCACTCACTATTTTCAATGAATAATTAATATACACCATAAATTGTTACTATACAACTTTTATTGCTAAATTTAGATAAAAAAGTTCAGAAAGAATGTTCAATATATCAAACACATTTATGGCGAAATATTACAAAATAAATGAAATATTATTACTTCGGATACAATGAAGAAATTAATAGTATACAAGTTTGGTAAAAGAAATTTTAACATTATCTAGTTATCTCTATACTTTTTACCATTACTAATGTGATATTAGGAAAAACTGTTGATAAAATATATTCGCTAATACAACATAAACGTATTGAAAGATAAGTGATATAATTGATATTAATAGATTCGCAACTTTTATTAGATATTTATTTCTATTAAGGAAGTGCCCGCATAATTCTGAGCGTGGGTGTATAATGATTGTATAATGTATATAAGTGATTTATATAATATTATTTCATAGCACTTTTATAATAACATTTCGAATAATATTTCAAATAATATCATTTCAAAAGTGCCCGGATCTAGTGCAGTCTATCCTCTAAAAAAACTAAAGAGAACATTCCTAATAAAGAAGTAGCCTATAATATACAGAAGGAGCCTAATTCCACCATCTTTGTATATTCTTTCCACCCTTTCATCCTACCCCCATATTTTCTCCCAACCGAAAGAAACGGCGCTAAGCATTACTAAAGCTCTCTCTGCCTAAAAGGCGCGCCTATAGTCAAGCGCTGCTTCACGAAAAATCTCCCGATGAAGGAAAAAGGATAAAAATATGATATTCGATGGAAAAACGAGTACAATGCTTCGTCAATATACAGTTGGACCAACTAATCGATATTTATCGTTGTTACGCGGGATTTTGCCGCGATCTATCCACTGGCAGAATTGAATTTCGCATTGTCGCGAACCTGCTCCTTCAAAGATCCAGCAGCTAGCGCAGAGACATCGCTAACCGCGTTAATATCGGTTTCCAGGGGCAATCGAGCAAGGTCTGCCGTTGTACCTTACCGCTTGATGACGAGGGAAGGGTCTATCTAAATATAACGTTCCAGCAAGGGCTCGTTCTGTCGAGGCAAACCTGGATAATATCGATCTCTCGACGCGCTTCTTCCTTGGCACTACCTGCTGAGCTTCCAGCTGGGTTATCCGCGGTGGAAACTCGTAAGGTACGGTCGTTCGTGCTCTGAAAACTTAGGAAAATGCGATGACAACGCACGGTACTTGTTACAGAAGCAAAATTCATTGCTTGGTACAAGATTTCTATCAGCAAATACATATCTAGAACTATAACTGTAAAAGGTAACCATACCTTGACGAAAAAAAAGACCACATAAATTCGTAATGAATAATACAATTCTTCTTTTCAATGTTTACCTGCAACATTTTACGTTTATACATACTAGACTTACAAAATTGTCACTTGGGAGTGTTTTCTTTGTTCCAATATAAAAGGGAAGCTTTAAACTATACGCAAACAAAATTATTACACAATTGGTCGTATCCATGTTCCAAATAACTCGTAATGTTTGCAAAACTAATTCGAATGACGCGCTTTCCAAAGAGAGTAAAAGAAAGTACAAAAAACGACAACCTCAAGGCAATAATGAATTTATTTAAACTATTTTCTGGATAATAAGTGATTCCAGCACTATATAGTAATCCTTCTACTTCCTCATATCCTTCGTTTCGATTTTACAACTGTCCTTTTCGAGTTTTTCGAGCCTAAACCTATTTCTGCCCTTAACGTTTGTATAACTAATTCAAATTTTTCGCGCTTTCCAAAGAGTGGCTTAACCCCATCTAGCGGTGAATAGCACGAACTAAAATTCTGTTTCTGTTTATTTATTAAAGGCTTCGAACCAATTCAGGTCCAATGCCCTGGTCAAGTGATACAAATCTTATACAATATATGAACTTACTACTAGTGATAACTATATGAACTTAAGACTACTTATATTTATTTGATTGTACAAAATATGTAGTGTAGTTTATGTACATGTGTATTGGAAGTGTATCTGAAGCAATGTTTGGATTATTATGATACATGTATTTCGGTGTTGTGTAGTTCGGAAAGTGTTTGAGTGTTGGAAAGATAGTGGAGGCTATATTTGCAGTTTGTTATTTGTAATAAATCTAGAGATGGCCCTGAGAGCTGAAATTGAGGGCTCTTGCAGGAACTGTTCAATCTCGTAAGGTGGGAGCCACCCCAGCTATAGTAGGTCTTTTATCAACTTCTTTCTGTGTTGGATAAAGAGGGCGCAATCTCATAGGATGTGGTTCAGGTCCTGTAAGGTATGTCCGCAGCTGCATTACTGTTTTGTGTAATGCCTACCCTCGAGAGGGAGGCAGCCAAATTGTAGTGATTACTTCTATATCTGTTGATCCAAGTCGTTGTATTCCTGGGAAGATTTCGATTATGGAATCATAATTTCCTCTTTGATTCGTAGTATAAGCTGAAGTAGAGTGTGCCCTTATTTCCTGATTTCTGGATCCAACTTCTTTCAGAGTTGGTCTATATTGTTGTTTCGAGGTGGTGAAATAGATCCGAGGAGGGAATACGGTTGATTGGGTTAGGGTAGTCTGTGGAGGCTTCCTTCGCTGCTAGGTCTGAACGTTCATTTGCCTCTATGCCATGGTGGGAAGGTATCCATGCAAAAGCAACTTCTTTGTTGAGGTTACTGGATTGTCTGATCTGAGACAGTTGATGTTTGATTTTTATAATATATTCATTGATGTGATAATTGAATATTTTCCCATTGAGAGCTTGGAGAGCGCTAAGTAAGTCAGAACAGATTAGATATTTGCAATTAGTTTGGGATGCTATTAGGTTTATGGTCATGTAGAGGGCTGCACATTCAGCTGTAAATACTGATGCATGTTTGTTAAGGCTTAGTTTTTTTTGTGTATTGGAGAGAGGGGCAAACACAGGCTGCTCCTACAGAGTTGGATTCGCTCATTTTTTATCCATCTGTGAATATTAATGTGTGGTCCGGGTAGAGTTCTTCTATCATGGTTTTAAATTCTTCATTCGGTACTGGTGAATTTTGAAGTGTGGCTCCTATTGTCGTGTTGATTTCTTCTGTGGATAGTTGTATATCTAATTCTGTGTGGCTGTAAGGTGAAGTTCCATTGATCTGGATGGTGTTGAGAAGTGGTTGGATCTCTTCCCAACATATGTGGATGGTGTGACAGTTTCGTTGCGTAAAGCGGTTTAAGAGATAGGTTGAATGTAGTTCTTTGGTGAAGTTGGCTGAGTTTGCAGAGGCACAATGTGAGTGCTATGGGTCGATAGCTCTTTTTGTCAGCCTTTAGTGTAAAGAATATTTGTGCTGTTGTCCATTGGTCCGGTATGTATTGGTTTGTGTAGTATTCATTGAAGATGTCCAGAAGGATAAGACGGTTTCTTACAGACATGAATTTGAGCATGTTGTTCTCGATTCCGTCGGGGCCTGGAGCAGATTTCGTGTTGCTAGATCCTATTGCATAGTTAAATTCTAGGAGATTGAATGTATTGTCCAGGAAATTATTGTCACTGTTCGTGCTATTTTGGATGTCTGTTGGTCTTTCTGATGCCCAGGGTGGTGATAGTTTGTTGATGGCAGTGTTTAGTGCTTCAATTTGATTTTGTGAATTATATAAAGGCTTCATATCTGTCCATTTCGCTTTAAATATTTGAACTTTTTTCCAGACATAGCAGGCGTTGGTTTGAGCATTTAGCCCACTGGCGAATGTGCTAAAGGAGTCTCTTTTCTTTTTCCTGAGGATTTTTTTGGTAATGGCTGATTGTTTTTTATAGGCTGCCCAGTCCAGAAGGTTGTGCGTGGCTTTCCATTTGAGGAGCGAGGCTTTGCGTAGCCTGATGGTTTTGCTACATTCCTGGTCCCACCAAGGAACTGGGTTGGTGGGAGTGAGCTTTTTGTTACCTCGGTATATGGAAGTGCTTGTTTTTGTGGCTTCCACTATTTTTGCTACAAACTCCTCGTAGCGTGTATTGAGGGTTTTGTTTGCAAAATCGCGTGATATGAAATAATTCCGGTTTTGGTCGAATATAGCGAGGTATTTTTTCCAATCTGTACCTTTGGTTGCAATCCTGTTTGTTTTTCTCGTTGTATTTTGTTTTTGGATTTGGATGACGAGCTCTATTGGATAATGATCTGATCCTAGCGGGTCATCTAGTTGATTTGTGGTGATTAAATGGCAGATGTCTATTGATGATATGATCAGATCGATATTGCTGGCTATGTTGCCTGGGGAGGTTGTTCTAGATGTAGTGTCTGCATTATGTATGATCAGGTTTTTGTTGTCTATTGCTTTGTGAAAGTTGTTTCCTGCTGTGTCTGCAGTATCGCAGTTCCAGTCTGGGTGGTGTAAGTTAAAATCTCCCAGTAGAATGCAGTTACCCTCATTCTGAAGATCTTCGAAGAATTTTTCCCATATAGGGATTTTAAGAGAGTGCCCAGGAGGTCTGTAACATGCAGCTACAGTCAGTGATGTGTTGAGGCTTAGGAGCTTGAGAATTATGACCTCCGATAGAGAGTCATTTAGTTTAAAGTGCTCCACAGTGTTGTATTGAATGTGCTTGCAAAGGAGAATAGCTACTCCTCCTCCGTTTGCATATATTCTGTCGCATCTAATTATGTTGAAATTTGGTATTTCAAAACTTTTGTTTGGTTTGAACCAAGTTTCGGTGCAAACTATTATGTCATAAAAGTTGGATAAATGCTGGATAGGCTCCGGCAGTTCCACAACAAAGCTCTGATGTGGTTCTTCTGGATTTTATTTCCTTTTGCTGGATCCATACTGCTTGAGGCTGGATGATGTGTTAGATCTAATTATCTTTTGAGGTGTTGTAGTAATCGTTTTGGGGTTATGTACATTGATATTTCCTTTGTTGGCAAGTGCCGTCTTCATTATTTTAGTGTTTTCGTTGTTTAGTGTTTCTTTTGGAGGTGCGTTTTCCTTGTTATTTATGTTTTTTGTGACTTTAGGTGAGGTTCTGGCGGTGGGTTGTGTATTATAATGTGCTTTTGTTTCTTTCTCCTCTTTATTCCATGCGTTGCTTTTTGGTGGTGGCCTTTCTTGACCACCGAAGGTTTTCATTTTCATGACTTTTTCTTGAGTGGGTTGCGCAAGAGGTGGAAAATGTTCTTTTGTTGGCGTAATATTATTGGGTTTGAGAGTTAGGCGTTGTGTCTCTCTAACTAGTTTCCTAGCTTCCCAGATTCCAATACAGTTGTAGGCTTTGATTTTGTTAACTTCTTTCTCCCGTAGCATTACTGAACAAGAAGGATCCATGGTTTTGTGTTGGTCCTTGCAGTGTAGGCAGGTGGGATCTTCTGCTGAAGGGCATATTTCAGGTTTGTGTTTCACAGCGGCCCCACATGTCCTGCATCTAGGCCCGCTCCTGCAAACTTTGGCTGAGTGGCCAAACCTGTAACAATTAGAACATACTTTTACGGGTTCAATATAAATTTCACTTTGACCCTGTAGATATGAAATAGTTTAATGGAGTCCGGCAAGACAGTTCCCTCGAAGGTAAGCAAAACCGTCTTGCTTGGTACCCACTCAACCTTCCCAGTCTCCTTGTTAATGATGCGTCTATTGAGACGTTGTGCATTTTTTATCCTGCAGGGAGTTTCAGTATTATTAATTAGGTCTTCTAAGTCGAATTCTAGGTCAATGTTTTTTATTAAACCTTTCCTCTCAATTCTGTAGTTAGGAATAAATGCATAGATTCCTTTTAATTTAAGGCCCTCCGCTGTCATAAAGTAATTAGCTTGTTCCGCTGTTTTGAATCTAATTTCAGCAATCCATCGTCCACATGGAGTTAATTCTTCTGCTCCACTATTTAACGAGTAGGAGGTTGTTTCCTTTGTTTGGTTCGTTATTATCTTTCTTAATATTAATTTTAACGTATGCAGGTCCTACGTGCGCTTCAGGATATTTATTGCTACTGCTTTCTTTTTTGTCTAAGGTCTTGGGGTTGGTGATTTGTTTTTTAGTTGCTTTTTCATGTAGATCAATGGAGTTAACTGACTCTGAGCTCATTTTTCTCTCTTCGTGTAGGACACGGCCGTCCATGAAAGGCTGTCGTCCCGTATTTCGGGTGCGTCCTCTGTAGCGTCCGCCATTATGGCGTCCAGCGTCACGAAGGCCATGGGGCCCAAGGCCCAAAGCCCAAGGCCTATATGTGTTCGCTTCTTCCTCTAGTATTTTCTTCCTCTATTTTTACCCTTTTTTTAGGTAGTCTACTTAATAAAGAGAGTGTTTGTATTCCGTTCGCGGATGAAAAAGACTGTATTATTCAATATGATTTGTATTTCCGCGCACACGCGTCACCGCCCGATCCCAGAACTCGAACTTAAAAAAAAATTGAACTAAAATTCGTTGTTGTTTGTTTGGCGTTTATTAAAGAAAATAATAAAAATATATAGACTTTAAACCTGTGTGGATCTATTAGTCTTAAATATATAAAAAACAATACAAAAATAGAAATATTTACATTGTTACATATAATACTTAATATTAGAAGTCATCTTAGCCTAAGTGTGTTTCTTTGTACTAGATATGTTTTTGTTCTGAGTATAGTATGTCTGTATATATTTCTGTGTTTTATTGTATTGTTGGTGTCCTTCTGTGATTCTGTTATTTTTGATTCCTGTTAAATCTGCAAGTTATTTTCTTTTAGGAACTCTGTAATTATCCGAATCGCTGTTAGGTTAAGTTCCTGTAAGAGTTCCTCTGCCTTGAAGGGAGGTGTATATCCACGCCTGTGCAGTTTCTCTATCACATTCTTCCTTTTTGGTGCATATAGTGGACAATTCCAAAGTATATGGTTGAAGTCTTGGAGTTCGTGGCCACAGCCACATTTGCTGTCTTTGGTAATTCCTGTTCTTGTTAGAGAGGCAGCGAGATTGTAGTGGTTACTACGATATCTGCATACCCATGAGGTGGTATATCTTTGCAGCTTCCTATTGTAAAACCATGGTTTCTTGGATTTTTTAAATAATTTTTCGAAGTATGTTTTGCCCTTCTGGGCACCTTCATTTATCCATGTTTGGTATGCGTTTTGCCACATTATTTCTTTTAATTTCTTTGTGAGATCGGATGGAGGTATGAATGTGGTGCTTTCCTTTGTTGATTTAGATACTTCTTTTGCCTTGATGTCAGCTAGCTCATTCCCTACTATTCCCTGATGTGCCGGTATCCATATGAAGTTTAATGAGCTTTCTGTATGAGCTTTTTCTTCAAATTCTTTTATCATTTTTTTTATTTGTATGATATTGGTGTTCGTGTTATGGTCAAACATTCTTTTATCTATTGCCTGAAGGGCACTGATAGAGTCAGAGCAGATAGCATATGATTTTTCTCTGTTTTCGTTGGCCAGCTCTATGGCAGTGCTTATTGCTGCGCATTCCGCTGTGAAAACAGAGGTGTTGATATTGAGACTGAGGGTGATTGTTCTGTTTAATTGTGGGCACACACATGCGGCTCCTGTGGTGAATGAGTCTTCCATTTTCGAACCGTCTGTAAAGATTTGAATGTGATTTGGAAATTGTGCCTCCATGATTAGGTTTAATTCATTATTGGCGATTGGGGATTCTTGAAGACTGCGTCCTATGGATGTATTAATATTGGCTTTTGCTAGTTGCGTGTGTATGTCTATTTCATTATATGGCATTGTTGTGAAAGTTTCGATGTGCTTGAGGTATTCTTTGGTTTCATTCTAGCATTGCCGTATGAAGAGCCTGTTTCTTTCAGGTTGTATGACTGTGATGAGTGAAGTGTTGAAGTGTACTAATTGTTTTTTAATGGGAATGCTGTGATTACTGTATGTTTTTAATATGTATTTGCAACCTAAAAATTTGGCTCTGTGCGGTAAATTCGGCATTTTGGCTTCTGCTAGTGCTACATTGTTTGGTGTAGATGATCTTAAGCCTAGAGCCAGTTTTTTACTGCAGTGTGTTGTATCTTTTCCAGAGTATTCCTTCGTTTCTTATTATGTGGAAAATACCACCAGCTCCTAAAGTCTATTTTTGAACGGATTAGGGCCTTGTATAGTGTCAGTAGAGTTCCTGCATCACAGCCCCACCATGTTCCTCTAAGAAACCGTATGATGTTCATTGTTTTCTGGCATTGCATATTTACCTGTTGTATGTGTTTCTCGAAGTTAAGTTGGTGGTCTATATTGATTCCCAAGAATTTTACGCTTTTACTGCTATTAATTATCTTTTTTCCGACTTGAATTTGAATATTGTTAGTATCTGATGCTGGTTTGTCAAATACAAGTACTTGTGTTTTCTCCGGTGCTAGTTGTAGTCCTAGTTTTTGTAGGTTTATTCGTACTGTATTTATGCTCCTTTCTATGGTTTCCTTGGCTTCTGTGATTGTATTGCTGGTGGTCATCAGCGCGATATCGTCTGCATACTGGAACGCTTGGGTGTTTAAGGGGAGCCTTCTAAAATGACCTTAACATATATGTTGTATAATAGTGGGCTGAGCACTCTTCCTTGCGGAACTCCTTTATATATAGTGCGAGAAATGGGTTGTTTTATTGTGTGAGTATTGCCAGTGATGGCAATATTTCTGCAGTGTGTCCATTTTGTTATGAAATAAAGTATGTTTGTTGGAATTCCAATGCCTTGGAGTTTGGTTACCAATATCTTGTTTTGGACGTTGTCAAATGCTCCGCTTACATCTAAAAATGCTGCTATTGATTTTTTTTATTATATTGTCCCATTTTGGCTTGTAGTATGATGTTTCCTATATTGTCCTGTACTGATCTTCCTTTACGAAATCCTGCTTGGGTGGGGTCTAAGATTCCCAAATTTTCGCACCACCATTGGAGACGGTTGTTGATAAGTCTTTCGTAAAGTTTGCAAAGACATGAGCTGAGAGTTATTGGTCTATAATTTTTATTATTTTGTTTTGGGATGAAGAAGACTTGTTCTTTAGCCCAGTCCGATAGAATGAAGTGGTTAGTGTAAAATTCGTTGAACAAATCTAAAAGAATTAATCTGCTTGTGGTGGGAAGATAGAGTAACATTCTGTATTCAATGTCGTCCGGTCCTGGTGCTGAGTTTGGGTTGGCTTTTTCGATTGCGTTCCATAGAGTTGAAGGTATCGTTTAGCCAGTTGTTGTTGGAGTTGTTTGCATCCGGGGTTCGTTCAGGAACTCATGGTGGTGAGAGTTTATCTATTGCAGAATTTATTGCATCCTCCCCATTGTTAATTTGGTTGATGCAGTTTCCTAAGGTGTCAGTCCATTTTGTTTTGAAGACCTTCACCTTTTTTCAGAGGTAGGTACTGTTTGTTCTAGCGCTTAGACTGCTGGCAAAGTGGCGGAATGCTTCCCTTTTTTTGTTTTTTATTATCTTTTTAGTGTTTCCTGCTTGTTTTTTATATGAGATCTAGTCTTTAAGGTTGAGTGTGTGTTTCCATTTCTGTAGTGCTGCTTTACGAAGCCTTATGGCTTTGCTGCAGTCTTTATCCCACCAGGGAACTGGATTAGAGTGTGTCTGTTTTTCTTATTATTAGGTTGGGTGTATTTTCTTTGACAGCTCTCTTTAAAAATGTTGTGAAGTCTTCATAGCGTTCTTCGATAGCCTTGGATGTGTGTTCAGTCGTTAAAAAGTATTTCCAGTTTCTTTCGCAAGTTGTGAAGTATCCTTTCCAGTTTGTCTTTTTTGTTGAAATTCTGTTGGTTTTACGATTGTATATATATTTTTTTGTTTGGTAGGATATTTCAATTGGGTAGTGGTCAGATCCTAATGGATCATCCAATTGTTCTGTGTTTATCAAATGAGCTATTTCTGGTGTTGTGATTATTAGATCTATGTTGCTTGATATGGAGCCTGGTGGTGCTATTCTGGATTTTCCTTTCTTGTTGTGTAGGAATAGATTTCTTGTTTCTATTATATCGTGTAGGTTGGAACCTGCTGAATCTGTATCGTTGCAGTTCCAGATTTTGTTGTAGGCGTTGAAATCCCCTAGCAGGAGGAAGCTTCCTTTTGATTGGAGCTCTTCTATGAATTTTGCCCATACGTTTGTTTTTAGGTTTCGACCTGATGGTCTATAACAAGCTGCAATGATGATTGGATTTTGTAGATCGTTTAATTCTATTATACTTGCATTGGAGTAAGCATCTTGCAGTATAGTGTCCTCGATAACTTTGAATTTGATGTCATTTTTTATTATTATGGCTACGCCTCCTCCTCTTGTGTTGATCCTGTTACATCCGGCCCTGCCGGTGTCCCTTTTCATCGACCTCGCATTGCGAATAGTTAAGATAAGATACTTTTAGGAATGCGCTTGACATACGATTCGGAAACCGTTTCTCGGGAACCGAATCGTGCGATCTGCGAATCAGCGAAATAGGCGTCAGCACTCAACGCCAGCACATCCGCTGAACTTGGGACCCCTCCCGATTTCAACGGATGCCGAAGCGAAGGTTCTCGAACGCGGCTTGTGCCATGCGAGGATCAGCTAATATATAAACCCGTGGACACGCTCCACGGCGCTTTTTTTTTTATTCCGCTGTCAGTACGTTCTCATCGTGGTGATTACCGAAATCTTGTAGTCGCGGACAGGCTAACTTCACGCGTTGTCGTTACCTACGAAAGTCCGACGTATAATCGGTTAAGATCACATCGAACCTTCATCGTCAATCGAACACGCCAATCGTCAATCGTGACTACAAATTATTGTAGTCACAAATAGAGTAATCGTACGCGCGTCGCGTCGTTACCGAGGAAAGTCCGTTGTTAATTAGTAGAGACCCGTGTCGCGAGTGATAGTTGCCGACAAACAGATCCTTGCAATAGCACAGCCCTGGGACCACAACAGATAGCTGGTACAACCAAACTGTAAGACCGACAAGCGGTAACGTACCTACATAATTGTATACTTGATTTCCCAAAACCGATATTGTAATATAAACTCGTTATTTTGTAACAATACATATTTATTTATATATTTAAATGCTAAACCTTGAAAACAATCATTGCAATCCCGAATTGCTCTTTCCCGTTAGCGAATACAGTTAAGGTGAGCTTTAGCTCTTTAATTGAAGACGAAGATCCCAAGAAAGAGTCACAGATAAGCTGCGACGTAACAATCCGGTCAACTCTTATTGTGTTGTACCCAGGGATTGAGAAATCCATATTTAGGTTAATCCAAGTTTCTATGAGTATTATAATATCGTTTGATCGCGTTAAATGTAATATTTCATTGTAATTTGTTTTGGCACTTCTGCAGTTCCATAAGACGATTTTAACTTCTTTGTCCTGCGTCTTTTGTGTTTTTCTTTGCAGATCCATATTGTTTGATTATTGTGTTTTGATTTGTTCTAAGATTTGAATTAATCAGTATCGGTAGGGTTGGTACTTTTGCGGGAACTGTTGATTTATTTTTTGTTTCCTTTGGGATTCTGTTCGTCACTTGGTCTGTTTCCCTAGTTTTAAAGTTTTCATGCTTTACATTGCTGTTTTCTTGGTCTTTATTTTTAAATTCTTTTCCTGTTGGTTCGTGTGTCTTTAATGTTTTGTTGTTTGTTGTTCTGTTTCCAGCTGTTTGTGGCTGGTTCCGGCCTTTGTTGATTGCCTATTGTTTTCACCATTACCGTTTTCTCTGGTGTTATTCTTTCCAGTGGTGGGAAGTTTTCTTTCGTACGTGTCAGGCTTGGTGGATTGTTGGAGGGTTGTTGTCCCTTTAACGAGGTTTCGGGCCTCCCAAACTCCTATATTGTTGTAAGCTCTTACTTTATTTATCTCGTTTTCCTGCTGGAGAACGCTGCATGAGCGGTCCAATGTCCTATGGTTTCTCTTGCAGTGAAGGCATGTAGGAGTCTCCGCTGTTGGGCACTCTTTTACTTTGTGTTTTTCCTGGCCACCACATGTGCGGCATCTAGGGTCGCTTCTACAGTTTTTGCCGATATGGCCAAATCTATAGCAGTTAAAGCATATTTTCAGTGGTTCTATATATACTTCTACTTTGACGTTGATTAAATTGTATAGTTTAAGATAGGTAGTGTGTGTGGGAGCACTGCTACCATCTCCACGAGAGGATCGCCGAGGATCGAGACTCCAGGGACCGGGGAGATTCAGGTTTGCCCACTGGTTGGGTTTCCATTTGTGGCGTGCGTGGGTGCGAGAGTGCGGATCGTGTGTGTGTGTCCGCGAGCATGTTTCGGAGCACCCTTTTCGTCCGCGACAGGACCACCACCAGAGGACGCGCCGGTGAGGGCTCCTTCGAAACGCGAAACCGTTAACTCCCGGTGTAATTTTTGATTGTATTTAATTCTAGAGCGGACTATTTGTTTGCGAGGCCCCTTATAGAGTTAAGTCGCGCCGGTAACGTATTCGTTTCTTTCCGTCGAATACTTTCTTTCGTATCGGGAATTCGCCACACCCTTTCCTCCAACGGTGTGTGTACCGCGGAATTCCCCCCGCGTCGGTTTCGATTGAATAAAGAAATCTACCTAAACGTCCGCGGATTAAAGTTTATTTTCCCCCCTTTCAACCTCCCCTGAGTTTCGCTCTCCGTAGAGCAGCCGGAAGGACGAAAGTAACGGACGCGTGCACTTGGCACTGGCGCCCAATTCTTTTAAATAAATTCGTCCGTGGGAATTGTGCGACCGAGCGTGTCGAATAGCGGCTTTCCCGGCCACCCACGCGAGGTACG